GGAAGGAAGGAAGGAAGGAAGGAAGGAAGGAAGGAAGGAAGGAAGGAAGGAAGGAAGGAAGGAAGGAAAAGAAAGAGAGACTGATATTAGCAAGCTTTCGCTAAACAGTTGAGAGTATCAGCAGTGCCTGTGCCTGATGAAAATATAATCTTTATTATACAGTGGAAGACTTGCAAATTATTATTATGGAGGTGAGCTATACATGCACCACATAACATGTGCTGAATGCCTGCAAAGTAATTTTATGAGAAAGTACAATGTACAACCAATGAGGCTCATCTCTGGCTAAAGTTTCCTTTTTCTTCAGAGAATTCTGTTCTAGTCTTCAATGGATTCAGAAACACAATACTTGGATTTAGAATTCTGGATGTCAAAAAAAACAACAACTGTAAAATAAAGGGGAGACTTAATTTTTAAAACAGGTTGGGTCCATGTTTTTATACTATGCTCCTTTAAGTCAGTGCTTAGTAAATGAAAGCAATAAGCCTTTGGGTCTCTTCAAAAACTAACAGGCATAAATATGCAAAATTATTATTGGAGAAAAATATCTTGATGCCCAAGGATCTCTGAGACTGACTGACAGCTGTCACACTAGGATGAGGCAAATCTCCTTAAAAAAGCAGTTGCAGAGTTGTTAAATCTGTTTTCCTCTTCTCTGATTACTACACAATCCATTCCATTCTATCAACCTGCATTTAAAAGGTGCACAAAATTTTGTATTTGTTTTACCTTAAATAATATTCAACCAGAATTGTGCGTTCTTATATGCATTTTAAATTAAAATATGCATTCATTTTTATACATATTTTGGCACATTTTTAAAGATGATATCAGAGAAATTTACGTGGCTTGTAATGTATGGACATGAAGAAGTGCCATAGCACAAGTTGCCATTTTCATATTATTAATTCCAGATGTTGCAAGCTCCCTGATTGACTCCCACCTGCTCCAAATGAAACTGAATTCAAGCAGGTTTGATGTCAGGAAGCCCTCAATCAATTTGAGAGGATTTTTTCTGTCCGTGAGAGGAATGTTCTTCCCCAAAGAGCAAGTTGGGATGACTCTGTGCTGCCCCAAGTGCTGAGGTCAATGTGATAGCTAGAGGGCTTATTACCAGATGCAGATGATGTAACATTGCTACCATTATCCATGCATTGACTGGATCTGAGAACACTGTTGCAATGGATTCTACATGGGGACACCCTTGAAGGATAGGAAATTGCAGCAGGTCCAAAATACAGCATCCAGGCTCTATCTGGGATATCCTCCTGGGAGCATCTAACATCTCTTTTGGGTCAGTTACACGGATTTTCCCTTACATTCCATGCCAAATTCAAGGTGCTACTTTTCGCATATAAATTCCTGTATGGCTCAGGCCCCTTCTGTTTGAAGGAACAGCTTCCTCTTTATGTTGTTACCCAGGAGTTTCATTCTACACAGAAGAACCTGTGTATGGCTGTCTGGAATCAACTGACTACAGGACCTTTTTGGTGGTAGCTCCAATACTCTAGAACTCCCTCCCCCAGTCAGTCTATTAGCCTTTTCTTCATTATGTTTTAAAATCTTTAAAATATACAGTGTATGTATGTATGTATGCATGCATGCATGTATGTTAGCATTCCTCCAGATCAAGGTTTCTCAACCTCAGCAAATTTAAGGTGTGTGGACTTCAACTCCCAGAATTCCCCAGCCAGCATGCTGGCTAGGGGATTCTGGGAGTTGAAGACCACACATCTTAAAGTTGATAAGGATGAGAAACCTTGCTCCAGATAGCAGTCATGTTTATTTTGCTACCAGGTTTCAATTTGTTGATGCCAAACAATCCTAATCATTTTTAAATTGTCTTTGATCTATTATTTTAATTGTTTTCGTTATTATAATGCTGTTCCTTTGTGATGCTTTGCTCACATTTGAGACACAATGGCTGTTTGTCTGTTGTGTATTATTTTCATTTCTGGCTTTGATTGTTATTAGTTGGAAGACTGCAGGATATAAATCAACAAAATAAAGAAGCAAATAAGTTCCCTTGCTTTATCACCCTAATGGCATTTTTGTTGTGCCCTAAAGTGGCCCCTCAAGAAATAAAACCCAGGAAATATTAATTAGTTTGTGGACTTCTTTGGGGCTCTGTGTACTTAACAGTGGACCTGATACGCTACTTCCTTCAAAGGCTTGACTTTCCCTTGGATACGTGACTAAGTGGCCAGCAGCAAAACTGATTTATCTAAATATCCAATCCAGGATTTAGGCATGCAGAAAGATATTTTTATTCCAACCTGATGGTACTGGTCTGTTAGGAAAACCATTTTTCCCTCCGTTTTGCTAAGATTTTCAAAATCCAGATGTCAAAGGTCTGTGTTAGATTCAAGGAGCGGTGGTGGTATTGAACCATAAGGAGAGTGCATACGTCATTCTTTCTTCTTTCTTGTTGTCAGCGACAGGCTTAAGTTGTGTATGGATTAGAATCACTTTCCTTTGGCATTTATGATCATATACAGTTTGATAGCTATGTTAGATCCTAATTAGGGAATTCAAGTAAAAGCAGATTCAAATATCCAGGAATGCATGGGATACCTGGGATTTACCATTCCAGGAAGTATATGGAAGTCTGCTTGTTTAAAAATGCTGCAATGTAAAACATCTCTCTACATATGGATACCCTTACAGATAAAACAAAAGGCTGCCAGGCAAAAGACTAGCAGAGAGCATCCATGAACACCAACAGCAGTCAGAAGACACAATGAAAACTTCTTAATCTCATAACACATGGACAGACTCAATCACAGTTTCAACTGGGAAAGTGTGAGCATCCTAGACCAAGATAAATCCAAAAATGCTAGGGAATTCCTATAAGCTTGGCATTCAGACAAATCAGCCATCAATAAACACACAGAAATAAACCATATTTACACACCATTCAAAAGAGACAATAAAAAGCTAAGAAGGAAACAAAAAGACCAGAATATATCCTCTCCAGGAGCCAACACCCAGGTAAGCAGGGATTAACACCAGGTAAACAATCAAGCAGAAAACAATACCCTAATCAAGGAACTACCAAGGAGAAAACTACTCTCCCACCAAAACTGGCAGGGCAAGCTACTATATATAAACAGGGAGCAAACCCCACACTCAGTGGCACTGGTGATGTTACCTAGTTGGGTAATGAAAAGTCTACAAGCTAACAACCAAACTCTCAGAGAGCATTGAGGACTCCGTGTGTGTATCAGATGATGCCCTATTTCTGTTACACCAACCTTTTCATTATAACAATACTTTCACTTACCTCCTGTCTGTTGCAACAAAATCTCTGCTGGGTTATGAGGTTTCAGCCCCAGTGCTGAAAGTGGAGTTTTGGCCAGTCCTGGCGGAGAGCGCACTGTTTCAGATATACAGAGAAAGAAAGAGAGAAAGAAATCAACAAACCAGAATATTAATAGATAAATTAATAATAAATCCAAAAATTGATTTGTTGCTAATTACCAGGATATAGCCAAATCTAAACATGACTGTAAGCATACAAGGGCTGCTGAAAATGCCCAGTGTGGTTGTCCTTCTGAAACCACAAGGGAACTGGTCCTTGTCACAAAAATGCCTTTGGCTAAAAAACCACTTTTCTTTTGTAGAAAAGAAATAAAATCAACCTCTAAAATGCTAGAGAACAAAACTTTCCCTCTTTAGCAAAGTTAAGTTAAGATAATCAAGATAGCAATTCAAGATAACAAAAGAGCAAGAGTGTTCTTGGTGTATTGGGAGTAAAGATTTATTAATAACACAGTCTCACCAATACTCGGTATGGACTTTTGGCCAAAGCCTCTCTCAGGCACAGCTGAGAGATGCACTTAAATGGTGTCTTCTCCATCATTTCAAAAGCAGGAGGGGGAAAAAACCTGCTGATGATAATACAGCCTGATATTTTGTGCTACCACTGACCTTGGCAGAACTGGTAAAAGACACCCCAGGCGGTTGTGCCTAATATCTGCCAAACATTACTATGCCTTTAACATCATGGCTAATAGAAAAACAGACAGGGAAGAAAAAAATAGGCGCTTTTGTGGATTTCCATACAATGCAGGTCTGACAGGTTTTCAACAGGGCATAGCCTATACCCATCCAAAGGAATCTGGATCCCCATTTTCTTATAGCATAAAAATAGTTCCATGTTATTTGTACCCTACATCTTTGCCTGACATCTACATATTACATTAGTTCTAATACCAAGGATATAACTGCAATGGTCTTTTCCATATTTAGCCATACCAAACAACAACCCATCAATGACTTAGTCCCAGTGACACGGAATTTAGAGTGTATATTCCAAAGCAGGACAGGGTTGAAGCATAGCTAATTTTTTGGATTGCAATTAATTGCAATCTCCTATGAGAAGATATCCAGAGACTGAACACATCCCCCTTTACATTTCTCTCGTTTATAAAAATTCAGAATGATTTCATTTAGCTTTCTTAAGCATACTTCCTATTGGCAGCTGTCTTAGAATTTAGAACAATGCAAAACGCAATACCTATCCACTTCCAGATTATTCTTTACTTGCTTGGTATGAGCCATAAAAAAGCAAAAATATTCTTGGCAATAAATGCCCAGAGCCTGCCCATCCCATTACCAGTGTGTTTGGAAAATGTCCATGAATGAATGGATGACATCATCTCATGTCACAGTTTTGCCCAAGGGCAGATATGGCATCTGCAAAGATCATGATCATGAGACAGAAAGAGGGACCACAAACACTACATCAAGGCATTGTCTATCATAAATAGCAACATCATATACACAGCTGCAAAAGTCTATATTTATAACATGTACATCAACAAAATATTTGCACAATTACATCAACATGTATCAGATTTTATGCCTTCCCAATCTAAAAGGAGAACAAAATGTAGGGCATTCTTGCATATATACCCATAGTAGATATGCAGCAAGGAGCAATGGAGCAAACAGAGGCAGATGTATATGTGAGATGTGTTTGAAACAGCAAGTCTCACAAAAGTACTTTCTAACCTTCATGATTTCTTTCAGCTGCTGCGTTTGTTACTGACAACTCCAAACAATTCAGGCTTTTTAACTGAATGTCTCGTTTTAAAGATTACCGGATGGAAGCAAACAAGTGAAGAACTTTTGTCTGTTGAGGGGGGAGGGAGTTGAACACATTTTTCATAACTTGCATTGCAATCATCTGACTTACGGCTTCAGATGGGCACCTATGCCAGAGCCACAGCAGGAGGAGAGAGGAAGGTAGGCAGGCATATTAAAGGAAAGCCAGTTACCAAGAGCTTGCATTTCATCATGGATCAGCTTGGCTGGCTAGCATTCATTGCTCAGGGCCAACAAGCAATGGGGAAACAAGCAAGTTCATGTCCAGGATGTTATGTAACCCAGTGATCAACTGGGATTCTCTAACAGTGCATATACTATTGCATTTTTGTTCTCAAACTCCGTGGGTCTCATGTACTTTAGTTTAGTTTGCTGGTGAAGAAGACAAGTCTTCACCAAAAAGTTCACAGAGGAGCCATAAATATACATATTGAATACTAAAGAGACCTCTGGCCTGCTACTCTAAGAATAATTTAAGACAGCATATGTCTTGCACAGCTGTCCCCAATAAATGCCCTATAATTACAGGCTCTCGTTTTCAATCCCTAGCTATGATGAGTGTGAATTTGGGGAGTTTTAATCTAACATGTCTGGGGAGTGCAAGGTTAGGAAAGGTGAGCTAACTAAATGGAACCAGAATGCATGTTGTCCCTGATCCAGATATTAAGCAAGGGATAGTGTTATGAAAGCTGCAGTCCTATACCCACTTATCTGGGATTAGGTTTTAGTGAATTAATAGAAATTAGCCAAGTTCCATGAGATAAGGGAATGTGTGCCACAGAAAATAATGAATGGACTCAGTTAAAACTAGGTTAGCCTGATCACAGTTGTGTTCTACCAATGAAAGCAGGGAAGTGTCCCTGAGAATGTCTGGAGGCTCTCCAGACACTTCTGCTCTAGCAATGGGCTGCTTGCCAGGCATATTGCACAGTCCAGGCAATCTTATATTAATCTCTGTTAGTTTTGGAGACTGGCACAAAATCAGAATGTATGAACCTGTAAGAATCACATATAGTCCTGGTCAGCTTTTGAAAGAAGCCAATGAAGAGATAGTCTTTGTATATCGAAATGCTAGGAAAGGAATCTATATGAGAAAACCACACACACACACACATCTATGAAGCTCAGAAGACGGGTTCTATTCTTAATCCTCTCTAATCATGGGAGGCTATTCATGTGCTGGATACTATTATTTTTCAGGATTGTGCTCACCTTGATGCTACTTAAACATTCATATGTTATGATTCACTGTGTATTGGGAAGAAGGGTAGCTTTTTAAAAGTATCTTATTTAAAATCTACAGATGAGAGTTAATAGTAATATCTAGCACTCTGACATTTGGGAGTATTCAGGCTGTTCAGAAATAATCTAGTTTACACCTGTTATTTTAAAAAAGGGGTTTCTTCCACCCTTTGGGATCGTTGCTCTTTCCCAGTCGCTTAGTGGCCCACTGATCCTGGTTCATGCTTAGCCATGTTAGCACTGCCCTGATGAAATACTGGCACAACGGTTCAAAGCTGATGAATTTTAAAAACCCACCACCAGGTTACCAAAGGTTAGTCACTCAGAACCATGCTTGACCAGAAGAGGAAGACAGAGAGGGCATGCAGCAGGTAAGTTCAGACCAGGTTTTCGCCGACAACTTCAGCAGCTAAATGAGATCGAAGTCTGATCTTCTGGGCTGTTATGCCTTCACTTAAAGCAGAAACTTCTACAGAATTCATACCAGATGTGCACGGCCTAACAGAATGAGCTTATTCAAACAGGCTGATTTGGTTGCAATTGCAATTACTGCACTACAGTTTGTAGAGAGACAGGACTGCTGTGGGTCAGTATGTCCATTTGGAGCGCCCTCAATCATGGAAAGCTGATTGGCGTACTAGGCATCAAGGCTCACCTCTGCTGTTAACCAGCTTGCAAAATTCCAGAAAATTTAACAATCAGCTCTCAGGGGCCAGTATGAGCTGGCTCCAGGGCCCCACTGGATGAAAGGCATACCTTACAGTTGAAGTTAATGCAACAAATGCCTCAGATGAATGGGAGCAGTGGCTTTACAGCAGCTGAGCAGAACTTCAACAGTGAAATATTACCTAAATACAGGAAATTTTGCATGTAGTTTTAACTGTGTGCCTACATATATCTGCAATTAGATTTATATCTTGAATGGGGCCACACAATCCAAAGAGTGCATTTATCTCCTCAGTTTGGGGCTGCAAAGATACCTACCAATGGAATCAACATTCTTGCTGGGAATTGCTGCTGGCATCGGGGTGGGGTAGCTCACACTGATGGATTTTCCATGATTTCCTCCCCTTCCCCCCCCCCCCCCCCCATGATGGAATCTTTCATGTGCATTCTGGAGGATTAAGAGATGTGCGGTGTAAGAACCGCCCTAAAGCCATCTCCATCAAGGTGAGATACACAACATTGGTGACTGATACATTCAAAATGCCATGCTTTATTTTACAGGTACATTTTATAGAATGCGTACAGGCATACCTGTGGAATAAAATGTGGCATTTGGAATATATGCTTTATTTTCTTATTTATTTATATTTGCACATTCTTGCCTCCCCACCTAAAGTTGTCTATTTTATGGTAAATGTCATTCCATATACTACGTACAGTATAAACTGGCAAAGCAAGGCTACATACGGTGCATTCAGAGTGGATCTTTTAATAGGAAAAGCTAATGCAACTCATGTGTTCTCTAACAGACGTGTATGTTACTGAAACATCTACAGTATTTCAAATGTATCTTTAGGATTTGGATTACTTTTTACGTTCTCCCACCTGCAGAGGACAGCTGCCTCCCCCCCACCCAAATAACTCCAAAATAAAAAGAGTCTCAGAGGAAGAATTACAACTATTACCTAAAATAGGATCTATTTGCCAAAACCCATGGATTTTTCCTCTGGGACACTCCACAGCTAGACTCAGGGGTTACGATTGATTAAGACCGGATCCCCTTTATTCTTCCATAGATGCTGTTGGGATATTATTTTTATACCTAGAAAGACTGTTAATGACAGTGAAAGTAATATATGTAACCATTCGTTTTCTGGGAGTGTGGGATTTTCTAGAAACTATACGCTAAAAGGAGTATCTCTCAAATATCAGATCAAAGGAATTTCTGTGGTTTATACATAAGAATTGGCAGATTTTAGATGTCAATCAGGGATGTGTAATTCTTATTCCAGTTCACAATTCTGCCAGATGCTTCCCAGGATGGGGAATTCTCCTCTCATGATAACAAGGTCCAGAGCAATTTTAATACATTCCCATGTAGGATTTCTGCACTAGGAGTTTTCACAGTGAGGAATAATGTTTCCTTAGTGAGGAAGTAAGCCTGCAAATGTATTTTTCGAAAGGTTAATAAATTATGTTTTTGTTATAAATACCTTAGAGAAATTCGTATCTATTATGGGTTGCTGATGGATGTAAGAGAACTACTGTCAGTCTTGTATCGCATCATCTTGTTGATTCTGATAATTACATGTTTACCAAAGTGAGCGGGAGCAAAAGTTTGACCCACATGACTAAATTAACTATTAAAAAGGGATTAACTTAAATTATTAAATCATTTGCATTTTGCCTAAAAGAATAATTATCCCCTGCTCCCCCACCCAAGATTTAGAAGCTATGTAATATATTGCTTCCACTACTACTACAGTAGTCCTTCCTGATTAATGATATGCAAAATCAGGTAAAGCCAACCATATAAGTTGTATTTTAACCATATCTCCAGCAAGAACCTTAAAGATGTAGCAAACAGAAAGACCCACAGCAGATGAGCCACTTATGTGGTCATAAGTTATGTACTTGTGCCCTACTTTAACTGTATATTCTTGGTAAATGATCTTGTACTTTTATGCACTATGGGCAACAAGAAGAGAGGACAGAGTGCAGCACTGGGCTA